CCCGGCTCACTTTAAGAACTAACACGTCAGTTTTCTTATGCACTAGCTGCAGATCGTTCTCTCTGATCCACCTACTAATACGACGCAGAGCTGTGTTAGACGCATTAGCCATGTCCGTTTTCTGACTCGCCTTCGCAACCAGTGCGAGATCATCGGCATAAGCTACAAGAGTGCATCCCCTTGGCATCTGTAGCTTCAACACCTCGTCGTACAGGACATTCCACGGGATGGGACCTAGTACTGAACCCTGCGGAATACCCTGCGACAAATTGATGCTGGTATCTTTTTCTATTATGGACCTGCCAGTAAAGTATCTGTCAATTACGTTGACCAAGTACTCACTAACGACCAATTCTCTCAGCCTGGACATGGTTTTTCCCATGATGCCGTATTAAAGGCATTCTTGACGTCAAGCAGGATGAAAGCCACCCATCTCTTTGTATCCTACGTGACTAAAGAGGTTACTTCTGTGAGCGCATCTATAGTGGACCTTTAGGCCCTAAAACCTTATTAACGGTCGCTCAGCGCATGCTTTTGCAGGCCGAAATCGCACCTCTTCCTCTCCTTTACCTCTCAGGATAAGGACAACCTTAGCTTCTTTCAACTTCATTGGAAACTGCTGTTGTTCAAGCAGTTTGTTAAGCAATCTCAGGAAAACATGCGAATATCTTAGTGCGGCGAGTCTTACTGTATACGGCATGATTCCGTTTATGGCAAGTGCATCTCCGTTTTCGGATCTTCATCCGTCAAATAGCCTCGACAAGTCCCAACTCAATAAAAGGTTCCGCCTCTACGAAGCCAGTAACCCTTTCACGCCTATCCTTCACCTGAGGAAAGAGTTCTCGTATTAAACGTAGTTTCTCCTCTTTAGGCAAAGGGTACTCCCAGGTTACTCCACCTTTCTCTCTTAGATCTTCTTATCTCATTCCTGTATTCATTCTGCATTCGCTGCATCCGTTTCTGCCTTTTGCTAGCTATTTCAAAACTCACATACTTATGTAAGCTGAGCGATTCTTCTTTCAAAACAGTCCAGCTTACGACCCTGTTTAGAAATGCCGTTGAAGCCAGTGTGATGTTCAGAAAGGATTCACTATTACCTCTCACGAATGTAGGTAGGTGCCTTACCGTCATTTGACACAGTAAGCCCCATGGCATGGATCCATTCTGATAAGTATTTCCCTCTCCCATCTTGCACTTGTGGGTTCCATGTTCGATCCTTCGCATTCAGATCACCAGTTGTGACGACCGGTACAGTCTCCATCCTAGCCTCTTACATAATCGAGTCAATGTACCCTTCATATACTCTAAGCAGGATGTTTCGTGAAACATAGTAATTATACACCACCTGATTTCCGACATATACCTTAACATAACCATTCTTGGTTATTCCTATCTTTAATCATCTCCTGCCGAGAGGCCAATTTTACATTGGCCTCCTAAAATAGGATCATGTCACAACCTTCCCTTCGTGCTACTCTGCAACGTCGTGAGCAGCCCTCGTTTTTCCCACTTTTATTTGTAGAAACTTCGTAATAAATGTTTCTTATCTATTTAACTTACTTACCCGTACGCTTTCTGATTCCTGATTCTATTCCTTAATCATAACTTACAACCTTCATATTACGCTTAGAAAAATTTATAATTCGACTGAAGCGTGTGCTAAATTTCATAAGGATCGATTTAATAGATTGCGTAATAATTTGGCAATCCAGGGTCCGCAAAAAATTGTAAATTTGCAAAATTTTGCTAAAAATCACAACGCGCTCCAAAAATAATTGCACTTTCTCAGTTTACTGTCATGTGATTTTGATTTTTTTAAAATCGATGTTTCGATCGTCAAAGATTTCAAATACGATATTTTCAAACACCTACTTTAATTTCAAAACGGGAAATTTACAATAAACAACTTTATGCCATTGAATAATCGCATTTCCTATCTATCATCATCATCATCAGTAGCTCGACAACCCTTTCTGGGTCCTGGCTTGTTCTAGGATTTAAGCCATTCTGTTCTGTTCCTCGCTTTGTTTTTCCAGTTGGCAATCTTAAGTGTTTTCAGATATTGTTCCACTTGTTCCATGTATCTAAGTTTGGGTCTTCACTTTGACCTTCTCCCTACTGGTGTTTGCCTAATTATATGTTTTGGCGTTTCAGTCTCCAACATCCGTTCAACATGGCCCATCCAGCGCAGATGTCCGATCTTTATGGATGTTATGATCTCGGGTTCATTGTATGCTGTGTATAGTTCAAAGTTATATCTTCTGCGCCATATGCCATTTTCCTTTACCAACTTATATATGTGTCTAAGGATTTCAAATGTACCTAATAGGTTCTCATCGCTTTTCGACAGTGTCCATGTCTCTGATCCATATACAAGGGCCGGTTTTATCAGAGTCTTGTATATTTTGCATTTGGTTTTACTTGTGATGTTAGATTTTAGATATTTAATCATTCCATTATAAGTTTTATTAGCGATATGTATTCTTACCTTAACTTCTTCACTGATATTGTTATCTGCGGTGACTAGTAAACCTAGATATGTAAAACTTTTCACGCTTTCGATGTTATAGTCTCCTATTGTCAGTGTCTGTAAGTTTCTTTGGAATGTCAATTTACTTCATGTCCTATCTATAGACCAATTAAATTATGATCTAATGAGCTAATTTCTAATAGCCCTTTTTAGGCTTATAAACATTTACAATAACTTCGTAGAATTTAGTTCAAATTAAAAAAAATGAAAGCAGGTTAAAAAAATAACTTTTACAAAAAAGAGTTTCCTACGACCCTTAGGAACCAAGATCCTTTCCTTTTTTGAAACAATTACTGTTACGTTAATTAATAACATTAAAGACTGAACTTAACCAATCTTTTATGAGAAAAATCAAGTTTAAACAAAACTAGCAAACAAAATTAATGAAAATTGTTTAAACAGGAGTGTCGTAAACAAAGAGTATTTTTCGTTCCGACTAGATTAAAAGAAGTGAGACTAGGGGCAACCCGCGCCCTTCAAAAAATCCAACACAGGGTCAAGATAGACCGCTTTCAGTCGTGTTATACTTTTTTTCTATACGGAATATGAATGCTGTAAGTTATGTTTAGAGTATGAATAAAAATTAAAGGAAAAACTCCATTTTTGCAATTTTTTCCAATTATCGCTATTTTTTAAACAATAAACATTAAACTTTGAATTTCTACTTAGTTAAATATCCTTTAACCTTGCATTTTTTGTTGGAGCAATATTTCTCGAGTTATAGGAAACAAATGGGAAAAAAGCAAACATTTTCGTTTTTTTTTTCAGATTTTGTTAAATAGCACAAGGTTTTCAGATGGCACATATCGTGATTATTTATACAATGTACAACCTAAAGTAATTGCAGACCTAAAGTAATAGCAAAATAACAGACTCATATGGAATATGGGTCTGCTTTTCGGTAGATCCCGCCTGGACTATTACAGTTAGTTAAACTTTTTAGCAATTGCTTTGACGTACAAGCTCTTAGTACTGCATAAAACTCTTTGTAAATCCTTATTTTAGCTACATTTACATCAGCAACCCCATATTCAAGAGATTCATAACTGTATTTATCTTCCAATATATTCTACTAATTCCATAGTATAGGGATATTTTTTTAACGAAAATTCACGCTATTTTATTTGAACACAAGCTTAAACTTTATAAGAAATACAAAAAAAAATAGGTTGCCATAATGTCAAATATGTTACCATAAAAAAATTCATCTTAAATTAATTTGTTTCATCAAAAAGAAACAAAAATAAAAATATTTTTCATGGCTACAGTTCTTCATGGCCTCTATAATTTGCCGGCAAATATTTATTTACTGCTTCATGGTACCAAGGTAAGAAGCAGCCACAACTCTATAATTTGACTGCTTAGATCGAAGTCAAAATAAGAATCTGATGGTACTGGTACAACCCCCAGTACCTCACTGGCCAAATGCATGCTCTAGACTGACTGATCGCCAGGCCACAACCCTCCAAGATCTCAGCTAGGACTGAATTGAAAAACTCGTCTCTGCTATCTAATTCTTACAACCTTGTATCTCCGATATTTTTTTTCCAACAAAACAAAACTCTCAGCCGGCGATTGGATTCTGCTTCTCGGCTTTTGTCAATGTAAATAAGTAATTCGCTTCTCAAACTCGTCTGAATTGAAACCCCCATAAAAGGCAATTTAAGAATAACCACTTACATTTGGTTTATTATATTCGGAGAGGTAGTAAAGTGTTTTTCTTCGCAGATTTTCAATAAAAAACTTTTATTCGATTATATAAATGTAAGACGCCGAATTAAAACCTTATGCAGAATGGAATTTGAAATATGTGAATTAAAACTTTAAACAGAACGAGACAGATAAAATGCTACAGAACTATTGTATTGACGTTTCGCCTTCCCGGCTAGAAGTTGTTTTTAAAATAAAAGATTTTTTTCAAACTTTCTGATTTCAAAATTGAAACGTCAAAAAATAGTTTTAATCCTAAAATTGTGGATGATTCCCAGTACGTACTAATTACCAGTAAAATGTCATAAAAAACGCTTCAGAACAAGTTTAAGGAATAGTACTTCACAAAAAATTATTAGTTTCATCCTAATTGGTATTCCATGTTACTATTATTTTAGACACTTGTTTTTAATTTTTATTGTATTCAACCGTCACTACACTATTTTACTTGTCTAGATATTTTTCCATCAGCTACCATACTATAACAAAAGTTATAAGTGGCAAATAATATTTTAGTCGGATATGTAAAAAATGTAATGTAAAACAGTATTTCTGTTCAATTACTTGATTTTTTCTTCTCATGATGTGTAGTTGCCTCATACAGTTATACTTCAAATGTTTGCTTAAAACTTGAACCAACAATAGCATTTTGGTTTTTCATACAGTATTATATTAAAACTCTATATTTTTTAAAGATCAGGACTTCCGAAAAAGACGTGAACATTGTAATAATTGAATTTGCATTTTATGGTGTTCACAGAAGGGAAAATCGAGCAAACTTCTTCAGAGGCAGATAGTGAGCTGTCGTCTCACTCTATCCCATACCACACAGGTTAGTTTTTTCACGAATCGTTCATTGTTTTGAAAAAGGGAATATTACGATGTTTATTCATGTAAGCACTGGTGTTAATCTGTTCTTATTTAAAATTTTTGAATAATCCTGTTAGATTGTAGATTTAGCCCATGCACCACTATTATTTTTGTACTAACAGTCAAATTGAAGGAAAAATGCAGTATGCAGTAAGTACAATAAAAATGTGTGTTTGTACTAACAAGAGAATTAATATGAAGTAAGAAAAGATGACGAAAATCCCGTCTGTACATCTTTCCTAACACATATTAAAAATAACTCGTCATTTTACCTTTACATTTTTATACTCCACACTTTCTATGTTTGTCACAAATATGTATATTTAAATTGATATATGACAACAGCTATGTAAATATCTACAATTCTTCTTTTTATCTCCGAGGCTAAAAAAAGGAAGCAAGTGTAATTTGTTCTATTCATGTTTGTGTTTGCTGCTAAATTCATATCTTCTTACTTATTTTTATTTTAAAGTTAAAAGTTTTCTTCAATAATAAATTATTTTGTATGTGCTTAAAGTTGGATAGTTCCCGGGAGTTGGTTGTATACCATAGTAGTTAAAAAAAATGAAAGTTTAAACTTCGGATGTAATTGGTATATATTTAACTAAAAAATTAAATCAAAAGCGTGAACGTTTTTGGACTTACAGCCCATCTTCAGTGAACTTTGAAGTACTTGCGCTAATAACCGCAACACCAAGCAGTATGTGAGTTTAAATTGAAAACTACATACTTAAAAGGATTAAATGAAACGACATAATGTCGATGAATATAGATTTAACTATCTCGGGAACGGTATGTCTCTACTCAAAACAGCACTCACATCAGTCTTGGATCTACGATAGCCAGCCAACTTAATATTTTTTATATACCATAAACTTCCAGTCTAATTCTCCTAATTTATATATACAGTGCATATAGTATGTGCGCTGTAGTTCTATCTAATTGTAATATGTAAAGAATGGTGAAAGAATCGTGGGAAATGTCTAAGGTAAACGTGGTCCTAGTAGAAGAAGAACATCAGGGCTGAAAAATCTAAGATAATGATAAAGAAAATTGACTACATAATTATTTAGAGCTGCTGTCAATAAAGGTCATGAAACTAGAAGAAGAACAAAACGAATGTTTATTAACAACAGTAATATCCATACCTAAAAAGTCAAACGTATAGCAATGTACCGAACACCAGACCATTAAATCACATAATTAGTTAAAAATCATTTATCGTAGAATTTCAGAAACAAACCATTTGGATTCGGAAACGTACTAGGACTAGAATTAAATATGTCTTGTTTGGTTTCACTAATTTTAAAGTTGAACCAAGAAGTATTTGTTTGATTAAAATACAGTGTTTTATACAGTAAAAGATATACTATTGATGAAATTATTTAGAAATAAAAACATTGGCAAAAGATATATAAGAACGATTAATAATGTTTACTGCGGACAAGAAGTAAAAATATTCATAAATAATTCCGTATTAAAAAAAATGAAAAGAAAAGAGTTATGAAACAAGTAAGAATGAGGGACGAAGGATTTTTCTAAAGAAGCCTTTGGGTCATAACGAATTGTAATGCCATTGATCAGGAAGGGCCATATATAATAAAAGCTGAAAGTAATACATGCAATAAACCTAACAAAATTCAATAAAGCCGCAAGGTCTGATAAAATTCCAACAGAAATAATTAAATTGGTATTAAAAGTTCAAACAAGTGTTTTAGTAGACCTATATACTCGTACAATAGAGAAAATATTCCAGAAGAATGACTAAAATCAGCATTTATTTATATTGCCCCAAAAATCCAATGCTAAGGAATGTAATGATCAACCGATACTCAGTTTTATACACTTATATTAATAAAAATTATACATTTGCATATTTTCAGAAAACTTTTCAGGAAAAATATATTACTAAATCCTAGTTTGGTTATAGAAATGTATGGGCATATGAGAGGCAATATTCTGATTTAATGTACTAACTCAACGATATATGGATGTCAATAAGCCTTATTTGTATAATTCATTTGTGTTTTAATCAGACTGCCAACCTCAGCGTGGGAAAATAATTTTGTGGGGATATACAGATATAAAGGGGAGTAACACAAGATTGCATACTCTCACCAGTACTGTTCAACCTATAATTGGAAGAAATATTTCAAAAATCACTAAAAGGGCAATGGTCGGATTAATTAAAAGTCAACTACCAACAATATCAAATTTGCAGATGAAACTATCCTAACCGCGAAGACTATACAAGACACTCCTGGATCGAGTAAAACATACTAGCGTAGAAAGTGACAAAAATTATGATAAAAAACACAGCAAGAAATATCATATGAGTATTAAAAATAAGTTGCGTCGACATGGTAAAAATAAAAAAAGAAAACCAAATAAAATTAAGATGAGAAAATTACAAAACTATCTAGTGAAAGTTACTGTAATTATGTTTTCTTATATTTTGACATTTCATATTGAGAAAAGAAAGAAAGTTTTAATTAAATATTAACGATAACAGTCAAAAATGTGAAACAATTGTTAAAAAACTTCAATATAAATAAGATTTCATGTGACAGTTGGGACAAATAATAACATAACCCAACTAAATTTGATTTCTTAAACAAGTAAATACTCTCTTTCCTTGTTTAATTTGGCCTCTCAAGATGGCACTTCCTGTCTAACAATATTTTTGCCCCCACTACCTTTACATTCCCGCTTTTGTCTTTTTGCTCGATGATTTATGGTGAACTATAACCTCATTAGTAATTCTTTTTGTAAGCGGCATTTTTGTTTTATTTTGTATCTAATCTTTTTCTCCTATTCATAGACGAAGTTCGATGATTTTGTTGATTTTAGCCGTTTTAGCTCCGTTTTTTGTAACTTATCACACGTTATTCTACCGCTCTGTCAACATTTCTCCGTCTCCGATTTCTTTTTTTTTTTTAGCGATTCTGTCTTTGAATAATGAATTTCATTCTTTTTAGTTTAACACGTACCTCAATTTTCCACTTTGAACATTTCTCAGTCAATATTCCAACCACACACACTTTGAACATTTCTCGTATGTTTTCACTGTCCTCATTTCGCTTCTTTAATAAGTATTGTTTAAAGTGCTTCAGTTTTCTGTGACAAAATATTATAGTGTAAATTTTAAAACAAGGTATTAAAGTCATATGTTTGTGGTAATATTTGAAACACACATTTTTGTTTTATAAACATGTGTATTTTCCTGTTTTCAATGTGTTAATTAGGAACTATATGACATTTTTAAACTAAAATTTCGAAATGTAAATAAATATCTCTGCACTTTATTTTTAGCTATACAGGATTTCAATGGCATAATAATTATTATCTATGTAATGGTACCATATCGAAGACAATTCAATATTCAGGAGGAATAAAAGTAAACTTAAGTATTTTAAATTCCGATTGAACTCTCAGAATTAATCTTTTAATATTAATAATAGTAAGGTTTAATCATAATTTTATTATTTTCTCATCACTCCAACAACCTTTAAAGTATAAAATAAAGTCCTTCAAATTAAGCATTAAACAAGCTGCATCGTATGGTATTCATCCCAGTAAGAAAATGATCTTATTAATTTTTTGGAATCACCAATATCTGTATTACATCCATTAAAAACAAAAAAAGAAACTTACTTGAATGCTTCAACTTTAGTGGAGATTTCTCTTCTTCAGACAGTATACAAGGTTTTGTTCTTGATACTGCGCGAATCACTTGCACCCTACGCTGACAATATCATCTAATCTTACAGAAGATGATTTTTGAAAATCAGATTTACCACTGATCACATGTCTTTCATTAGACAAATACCAGAAAAAGCAACGGAATTTGACATATACTTTCTTGTACATCTTAGTGCACTTCTATGGCGATGAAGCTTGAGGTACAACATGAAACTATCCAAACAAAAACAATTTAAAGTCCTCAAGTCAGAGCGAGAAGGATGGCAACAGCAACAAAATACAAACTTATACGCCCAATACTTACTCACTTAGAGGTTAGATGAGGACTGATTCGAATCTTTAAAAGAGAAGTATTGATTATCATATGTGTCGAAGTTAACAGAGTTTGTATGGAGAAGGCGATATAATTTTCTATAGACTTTTAGGGATGCAGACATTGCTAATACCATCAAAATAAACATCCTGAGACGGATGAACCACATGATACACGTGGATGGAAGTGACTGTGCTTAAAAATATGCTAAACAAAACGGTCTGAAGAAAAAGCAGAAGACGACCTAAGATGAGATATCTGGACGATGTAGGGGAAGATTTGAGAGATATTGGAACAAAGGCAGAAGACGACCTAAGATGAGATATCTGGACGATGTAGGGGAAGATTTGAGAGATATTGGAACAAAGGGGTGGAGAATATTATTATGTTAAACATTGTTTTTAATATATATGTACACTTCATTTAATTTACATACCAATGCACGTCATCGGCGTCATAGCCCGTGACGTCACATGATACCAACACGAAACATTTAGGCGATAGTTGTGTTTTTTTTTAGAATCACTTTGCCGAGTACACTGGCATTACAGCCACTAGACATATTTTATTATATACCCGTAGAAATAATATCTAAAAATTTCTATTAATGTTAACCTAAAGAAATACACAATAATATGTTTCATTTAATTTGTATAAATGCATTATAAAGCATTTTTATGAAGAACATTTGTTCGAAACAAACTATAACTATAATCGAACGAAGATGAAATTTTGGCATAAATTGGTAACACTTATTTGACAGTTGCGGTGTTGACACTTTTTGTATTTTATTATTTTGAATTTTAAAGTGAATACCTCTTGTTTTATATTTTTACCTATTTAATAAAATCTGTTCTTTTTAGAACAAAATTAGTGTGTTTTATTTAAAAAATGTCACGTAAGAATTTAAATAGTAGTTGTAAAGAGATGGTAATACTTTTGCAATAATTATGTGATCTATTTGATTTAAAATGGAGTCAGGATTTTTTTATACTTTGGCAACTATGTCAACTTTGATCTCTGACGTAGATAATGACGTGCATCGGTATGTAAATTAGATGAAGTATATGTCAATCTGATATTGAAACAATTCCACTGCTATGGTTACTTCTTTTATTTAAATATCCCTTAGGAATAAGTATTCAGTTTGCTAAATATCTTCGACTAATTAAATAATTTTAAAATATTCTTCATAATCATAATCATTGAGAATCCCACATATTAACAGTATCATAACCAACATAAATACAATCAAGTTAACCCAAAATATTCATAAAAAAGTAAATTTTGGGGATATTATTCCGAAATGAGCATAAAACTGATTGGGTAAGGAGTAAAATTAAACTGACAGATGTAATTTAACATGATTAAAACTAAAATACTAATGACTGTACACAACACAACGACAGATATACAGATGGACAAGAGTAGCTTTCTATATGAGTTAACTTTCATCAGCATTTCAGTTAACATCGTCAATGATTATGTCATCAACCTAAAGTATATCGTTAAACGTGGTGCTCAAATGCCATTGGAATTTCACAATTTTAGGTTAAATAATTTCTAGTATAGTTCTTGATTAGTATATTGTAAAAAATATTTGAAACACTTTTTCCACCTATAGTTTTAATGAACTAAAATAGAAAAACATATATCACGAATGTAATTATTTACCATAACTCGAGGCAATCTGTCTACGTTTCAAGGTACGTAATTTTCTACGTTTGCACATTAAATAAGAGTTCTATAGGTACGAATTAACTATAAGTAATCGCCAAGAGATGAATAAGCAATCATTATTTACTCTTGTGTCATAGTGCATGTTTAAATCTGAGAGTTAAAAGTTTTACGCATATACAAATAAATAATGTTTTTTGAGAATTGATGTGGTCATACGACATTTTACTACGTAACTATCTATTGTATTTAATAGAATAATATAGTAACGTTGCGATCTATAGCAAGCGCGTTAGTAAATATAGAGTGCCTCTGTAAATAAATTAGGCAATAACGTAGTAAACACTAACATTGTAGTCATTCATTAGACTGTAATAACCAGTCAAACAAATATGCGAGAAATATGTCGTGTATGTGATTGTTCAATGTTCAACTGGAATTATTTGTCCGCATTTAGAATATCGTAATGTAGTAAAGTCGCTCTCCTTAATGTAATATGTATGAATAACTAATTGTGCTTAATTCTCATTAAATATAGTAAATAAACGTCAGAAGTAAACAGCTTCAGAATCATTTTTTATGTTTTTAAATTTATTATTTCCAATATTTGTGATTACTCATCCTTTTAAGGCAAAAGTCCTTCTGCATCTATAAGATGTATTGTGTCCCCCTTTCGTTTCCGCCTCTGAGAGCTTCTCAGTGATCAGAGCAACTCATGCAGTCCTGTGAGCTCCCAGATAAAGTGTTCTGGAGTTCCTTAAGATGTAGCAGTTTAAGGTATAATGTAAAGAGGTTTCACCCAATAATTGCGGCTGATTCTCAACAAGATATTTGATAAAAAGTTGATATGCCACAAATAAACAGTTACAGTATTCAGAATTTATCTAAAAGAAATTATCTAAAAAAGTTATTTAAAAATTTAGGAATCTCTATATGAAACTTACCATAATGAAAATTCCATCAATTTTGGAAAATATGTTCAAATAGTGTATTGGAATATAGTACATAGATGGAACAAAACGAATATTTAAATTCCATCTTAATCATTATTCTTTTAATTTTCAGATATGTTTAATTAAAATAGAATCTTATAATTTAATTTGTACAAAATAAGTGATAGAACTTTTATTTTGAATTCTTCAGCACAACACTTGCTTTTCCTTTCTAACAACATTGTAATATATAATATATTTATTACAATTGTATGTCTCTAATAGTTATATATTTAATGTTAGTGTCCATCTCACAAAATGTTAACATTAATTTTCTTTGCAGTGCTACCAGCGACAGCTCTTCAGATTACTAGTGGCGAAGGTGGACATCAGGGTATTCAGACTTTAACAATGACTAATGCGACTGCAGGTGGCGCCATCGTACAATACGCTCAAGGACAAGAATTTTTTGTGCCTGGTATGGATATTTTCATACAACTATATTTTATCAGCTGTTCAATGCCAATGTCGGAAGTGGCTTTCATTTTAACAATGGTTTCTGATCCATTAGAGACTTTTTTTAATAATCATAAAGCAATTGAATTTAATTGCCTGTATATATATTAGCTGACCCGTCGAACTTCATACCGCCTTAAAATTAAATAATGTATTGTTCAATAAATTCCTCTTTCGAGTCTGTTAAGTAACAGAAATCTCCACAAGGAATCTACGTTCCTGTAGTTGGCTGTATACCATATATTAAAAATCCTTTGTAAAAGGTATATATTAAGAACCCAAACGGGCTAAGTTAAACAGACAAAACGTTTTCGGAATCCATATTCCATCATCAGTGTCTAAGAGTACATGAATGTAGCCACTAAATATGTGGGTAAAAACCCACCCGTTAACAAATAATTAATTACATTTAGTTTACAAAATTTCTTATAATGATCTAAGATGTTACCGTTGGATTAGGTAACATGGCTACCTATGACTTCACGTTGAAGTTGCTAGTCTTGAGACAGTGTGTCTACGAAGACTGTTGTCAGTTGCTCCCAAATTTTGTAAACTAAATGTAATTAATTATTTGTTAACGGGTTTTTACCCATATATTTAGTGGCTACATTCATGTACTCTTAGACACTGAAGATGGAATATGAATACTGAAAACGTTTTATCTGTTTAACTTAGTCCGTTTGGGTTCTTAATATATACCTTTTACAAAGGATTTTTAATAAAAATTTTTTAACAGAAATCTCTAATGAATCGAATCCGATCGAGGTGTCAAGAACAACTTTAGCATTTCCAATATCTAACAACTGCTTCGAAAACACAATTGCACTTTGATCTTGTTATCAAAACACTCTGCATGCCGCCACAAATTGGATAATGTTAGACATGCGTTTACTTTGCCCGCAACAGTTGGGGCATAATTGTTATAAGAAACAGTCTGATAATAGAATCATGGCTCCACCAAAAATGTTTTTGATTGTCACGAATATCTTCTTCTCCAGTCTCTGTAATAACCTCTTGTGGACCAATGTACATTTATCCCAAAACGATTCATTTGCATACCTGTAAAATCTTTGTCATTGCTCTATTTTTGTCGATGTTGCAATCTGATGTGTCATTTCAAGGCAAAAGTGCAATTCGTCCGCCTTCTAACAAAGTTTTTTCTCTAACTCCCAGAGCACCAAGGAAGTAAATTCCACCAGATACAATGTTCATAGCTTCTGCTATTCTTGCATACGATCCATGCAAAGTCCAAATGACAGACCAACCAATTGAATTAGCATACTGAGGGACTGTTAATATTCGTTATTATATTTTATTTTATTGTATTCTATTTTATTCCATTTTATTCTATTTCATTCTTTTTAATTTTATTGTGTTTTATTTATTTCTATTTTCTCCCTATTCTATTTTAGTCCATTTTATTTTATTTTAATTTTATTTAATATTATTTTATTCTATTTTATTTTTATTTTGTTTTATTTTAATTTACTCCATTTTATTTGATATTTTTTTGTTTTATTTTATTTAATTTTATTAAATTTTAATGTATTTTATTTTAATAAATTGATTGTGACTTATCGTTGAACTTAAAATCTACAAATATATATTCTCAAGTCTCCCTTTAAGAAAAGTTATATTTCAACGTTGTCTTTGGTGATCGTTCAGCTCTTTGCGTTTTCTCTCGTGAAGTAAAGCCGTTGTTCATTCACCAGGTGATGCCGTTTGCGTATGGAAAATGAAAAAATTCTCCAAACCGCCTCATTGATATAACTTTCCATCTGATATGTTGAAACTTCATCGGTATTATTTGAAGCCACAATACCAAATAAAGCTATGTCGTCATGTCAATCTATCAATACTGACAGTTATTTTATTCTTAGCTTTCTTTGTTAGTCATAGTATGGCGCCATCTATTAGTTACAGTACATTTTATCAACTTACAGCTTTAAACGATTAATGGAAATCGCAGAAAACCTTTCGTTTTAGTAAAAGACTCGGTAAACTGCACTGAAGTTTTCCATAATCTTTTTAATTACTTACTTTGTTTAGAATATTTTTGCCTGTATTATCAGTTAAGTAAATTTGTATAAAGTAAGGAACAACAATTCAAATGGAATTTTAAATATTATTGTTTATTTGGCTAATAATGAATGTATAAATATAATAGTTAACCTGCTGTACAATTATTTTGTAAATAATATTATAATAGCGTACTTCCTAATTATTTAAATTTATGAATATAAATTCATCATCGTCATTAAATTCACTACCATTATCATTATGTAAATCTGTAATCACTGGATTAATTTCAATAATTTTATTTTCCCGGATCCTCTACTCTTCTATTAATTTTTCACATTTATTTACAGTTTGGGCCCATATTTCTGGAGTTTTCAGTTTTACGAGCTTCTTGCCACATTTCCCTAACTGCATGGTCACTTTATCCACTGCATCCAACGTGGTTATCATAATATGTTTTACATATACCCCAGATGTGTTCGATTGGATTAAACTACAATTTGGTCAACTATATAAACTCTTGATTTTTTATTACGTTTCGAAATTTCCAGTAACTGTGATTTGAAGGCGTATTCCGGTAAATTGATAATATTTTTAATTAACCAATTTTTTATGCTCCACGACTGTTTTGCTTGTTTCTCCAAAATCTCCGAATGGAAGGGTGCGTTATCTAAAACTATAACTGATGGTTCACCCATACTAGGTAACAGGTTCTCCTCAAGCCATTTAATAAACATATCTGAATTCATGTTTTCATGGTAATCGGCAGATTTTTTATTTTGAAGAAAAAATCAAATCCGAGTTTTCTATATAGCTTGCTTTCCCTCTTGCATGAAGTGTCTTGCCTTCGCTATCTGTGTGTTTTATTGATTTTATGCAGTTATCTTGTTAAATTCTTTTAATTCCACTCTTTGCAAATATCCATGTCTCAGAAGTATACGAATGTTGCATTTTCAGATTTAAGCCTAGTTTATTTTCTCACATAAAAGTAACCTATTATTTTCTTTTTTTAATTTAAATCCTAAATCTCTCAGCACTTTCCGAAGGCTAGTCCTCTTAATTTCAGAAACTTGCCTTTCTCTTATTTTGGCCAGTAAAGTGTCTAAACTGACATATCGATTTGTTTTCACGCATTCGATACAAAATATTGCCAATTTCAAATTTTTCTCTATCGAGTAAGTCAATGCTCCTAGAATGTTTACGAGTTGTTTTCTTGTCTTCGTGATTCTCAGTCACGGTAAGACCTTCTTGAGAATCTCTGACAGTCTTCATTACAGTTTTAGCTTACTTTCACTTCTCCAGAGTGCGTCACAAATGTGTTGATTTATACATAATAATGATTTTAAAGGTCCATCGTTATCTCTTTCCATGGTAAAGTAGTTATGCACATTTACAATTAATTCATCAATATCCAACTTACGTCTAGACTTAATAGTCGCTTGAAACTACAGGTTTGAATTACAATATACTGAGTTTAGATCAATATGACAGAAACTTTCTAAACGTTGTGCTTGAGAGGTAAAATATAATATAACTGCTGTATATTGTGATTTAAAATTACAGAAAAAACGATTTTTTACGTTTTTTCGTACAATTTTTTGAATTATCTTTTACAAAAACCTTCTCCAGATAATAATAAACACCACAAAAAAGGAATTATCTAATTTGGTGCAGTCAAACCTTTCGGAGATTTTTATTTATAATAGAAGATGTCTATATGCACGGGGAGTGGAAATTAAATTCCAGGAATTTGTTGATAAATCACAAGCAAAAACAAAATAGCATAAAATAAAAAAATGCGGTGGGCGATGTTGAGGTTATAGGGTTGGTGCGGCAATATTGGTATGCCTTTCTTCAACAAAACTCTTTCACAATGAACGTGAAGTGGGCGGATACAAGATCTACATATTTCAGCGAGTTCAAGTTGCACACAAAAAACGCCGATTTAGGACGCCAGCATAGAACTGTTTGGTTACTTTCAGTTTGGCAGGAATATATTCGCGATGAATGACGCAGAAGATATTTAAAAAATATCAACACTTTCGGATCAACACATCCTCACAGTTTGATTTTCGCATATGTTCTGTTTCTAGTTGAGCAATTTTGGCATATTGCTGATGGTTTCTTTATTGACGTTTAACTCGATACGAACAATGCTTAATCGTGGTTCAGACGCTATGAACGCATGCAGGCAGTCGACATTCACGTCAGTAAAGGTCGTCACAGGAGCTTCTTCACTCGAATCATCATCTACTGATTCACGCTCCTCATTGAACCGTTACCCCCATTTCAAGACGCACGTTTTTGACATGCACTCGTGTCCGTCTCTCTCCTCAATCCTTTAGCCCTTGTCAGGGCGTAGTGACACCCTAAATATTGTTAGTCTGCTGTCTCCATTGACTGCGATCTTGTGCCATATGGACGGCTTCATGTAGGGATTTTCCCACCAAACTCTTCATTTGGTCTACCCATCGTATTGGAGATCTTCCTCTTGGTCTTCGGCCTTCTACCTTTCCTTCTACTACCAATAGTTCCATGGTTCCCGTTCTTCTAGCTATGTGGCCGAAGTAAGTTAGGTATGCTTGGTTTACTTTTTTTAGTAGCCTGTCTTTTATATGAAGCTCTTCCAGAATTGACAGGTTGGTTCTATGTTCCGTCCAGCACACGCGTAGAATTCTTCTATATACCCACATTTCGAAGGCTTCGATCTTACTCCTATCGATTTTTTTGAGAGTCCATGTTTCAGCTGCATATGTAGCAATGGGAAAAATAAGGGCATTGACCAACCTGAGCTTAGTATTCCTTGTTATTGTTCGGTCTTTCCATATTTTAATTAATTTAGCAGTTGCGGTTCGGGCCATTCCTAGTCTACGTTTGATTTCTGAGGAACAATCACCATTGTTGGTTATCAGAGAGCCCAAGTATACAAATCTGTCGACTACTTCGAAAATCCCTATTTGGCGTATATGCGGTAGATTATTATTTGCTCTGTCTACAATCATTATTTTTGTTTTTCCGGTATTGATTTGAAGTCCGAATTCTTCACTTATTCAGCTTAGCCGTTCGATGATGGTAATCATTTCGACTTCATTCGCTGCTAGTATAAGGGTGTCATCTGCGTATCGCAGGTTACTGATTTTTCTGCCTCCTATAGTGATTCCTCCATCCCATTCATCTAGTACTTTTCTCATTATATATTCAGAATATATGTTGTACAATAATGGTGATAGTATGCAACCTTGTCTAGTTCCTTTCTCTGTTTTGAATGCATTTGAATATATTCCATGTACTTTAACTTTGGCCTTTACCACTTAATTTTCGGTAGATTTCCGAGGGTTTTTTTCCGGATTAATGCGTTAAAAACGTTATTTTCGAAAAATTCGCATTTTGACAAACTGAAGAAATGATTCCTTTTCCAGATATATGTTTACTAATCACTCAGTGTTGCCAGTTATCGAGTCAATTCTCTGAATTTGGTTGCCACACCTCGTTTATATATACAATTTCATATTGCACATTACATTGTTCATTACATATTAAAGTCAAACTTCTGCTTAAATAATACACTCTGACTTGACTTGTTACTCAAATAATAAGTGAAATTTTGTTTTTTACTAACAAGTCAATCAAGTGGCTACTTTCTATATATACAGTACGTAAATCTTTCAGCTGGACATAGGTAATATACATTCAAGTAAGTGGGGCAACTGCGCTTTCTCGAGTATATGCCAATATACCACCAAACGAAGAGGTAGCCTACAATGCACTCGATAACTAGATAATCGGCACCTTTAATATCTGTTGTAACGTTAAATCTATGCTATACTCATAGTTAATTGTACGATGTTGTCTAATATATCCGAATTTATGATTTTTTCAAAAGGTGTAATAGTACTGAGGTCACTTTTGAAGCCACTGTATTTTGTCCTGGAAATATTTTGGTATTTTTCCATTTAATTTTTCATTGCGACGACAGCGGTGTCTGATGCCATGCAGTTTTGTATCTTTACCTTAAAAATACTTGAAAAAGTAGTCGTACTTAATCCAGTATTATCCTCGAAGTTACTGTCTCTGTCGCGGTCATTCTGTTCTTGTTTAGATTCAGAGTTGTGGTCATCATGGTAGATTATTTCTTCATCTGTCTCAAATACGTCGGAATATTCTATTTCACTATTTTTTGTTTCTGGATCTTCATTAACAATTTTATATAACTCAGCCTCAGTTAAAAACTTTTTGCTAACCCTATAAAAATAAAAATAGATTAACACACAAATAATATTCCAGCGATATTCCTTATTATGTCTCAAGTAAAATATCGTTTTACGCTGACGACACAAAAATATATGCCAATCCAAACACAAACCAGCTAACCCTCCAAATGGACTTGGACTCTATTTTAACTTGGTGTTCCCAGTGGTTACTACCCTTAAACGCGGAAAAATGTGTAGTTCTTCGAATTGGCAAAAATAACCCACTTGTGCCGTACTTTGTTAACGGGCAGCCATTAGAATCTGTGTTTTCGTATAACGATCTTGGTGTTATTGTGAACAGCAGCCCAACTTGGTCCGATCATATTACCTCTATTTGTAAACGTGCAAACTCCAGACTGTATCTTATTCGGAGGTGTTTTTCGGGAGTTTCAATGCAATCATTTTGCAAACTTTACACTTTGTACGTAAGACCCATACTAGAATACGCTGGACCAACGTGGTATCCCGATCTGGTTCGAGACAAGAATCTGTTGGAAAACGTTCAAAGAAAAGCCACTCGAATTTCTTTGGGACCGAGAAGACCGTCTTATGCAGAAAGACTTAGTATGGCTAATCTAACTACTTTTGAACTTCGCCGACAACGTGGAGACTTAATTACAACATTCAAAATACTAAAATTCAATTTTGGAAACCTCGATGAAATATTTATCATAAACCAAGATGAACGCCTCAGAGGTCATCAATATAAACTAAAGAAAGAAAATTTTTCTATAAGACAAAGACAGAACTTTCTTCCAAATAGAGTTTTTGAGTGCTGGAATAATCTCAACGATAACATTGTCTCCGCTTCTTCTACGAACTCGTTCAAAAACAGACTCGACAGTTTTATATTATAGTTAAAATATTGTTTTTCCTTTAAACCAAAAATTGTAATTTTATTTCTTTTAGTTGTAATTTTTGTTATTTACTAGTAGGTGATAAATGAAATTTCTTTGTTTTTGGGCATAATAGGGACTTTAGTCCCTCTGCCCTCGCTTATATTATAATAATAATAATAATAATAATATAGCAATGCAACTAAAATCTTACATGATACTTATTCTCTCAGCGTAGGCGATAATTATTTCTCAATGATGTTAAAATATCCTGAACTAAAGTTAATTTGATTTTAATTTCAAATTACAACTTTTTATAAAGTAAATTTAATGGACAAAATACTTACACTTAGTAAGCGCGGTATGTTTTATGTACACAAAACCGTCACACTCTCGTATTTCTAAAAATTCTCGCAAAACTTCGCTGCAACAACTATTACTCAACTATTTGAACGACAGATCTCTACTGGACAAATAGACGCGATGATATCGCCAGGTTGACGACGGTTATATTTTTAGATGACTTTTTCTATGGACTACCTAAACTTTGACGTCACACTGGGCGGAGATTTGAAAAACCTTTCCAAACATGTCTAATTTGTGTGCATTTGTCCAATAAGAAGTTGGAAATATTGTTTTTTTTTTTATTATTTGCAAAATAAATAAGGACTTTTGGTTATGAACATTCATTATGTGAGATTGTTATTATTTGTTGTCCGTTGTGGGTTAAAAATTTCAAAGTATTAAGATATTTACTATGAATGTTCATATTTTAAGTTTGCGTTATTGTTTGTTTAAAACTTTAATTATTTTTTAAAGTATTTCAAGATATTTTGTTGCTGTTTTTATCGGGTTTATTTCAAAATTAATCAATACATCATTGAATTTATTTACAAAGTTAAAAATATTTAAATTCAAATTTTATTCTGTTTTAAGTGCTGGTGATTTTATCCCCTAAAAGACTAAATAAATTCGTTTACTCGTAATTTAAACAGTTAATAGTAGTTTTGTTGTCATTACTGCAAAGTTCAGTAATACGTGATATCTAAAACACATGTTTATTATCCATTATATGCACAGAGCTAAAAAATAAATTCAAAAACTATAACATTCAAAAATATCTCATTGTGGCAATTTGATAGAAAGGTTTCCACAGAATGTCATATCACAACTTAAACTATGAGAAAACAAATATTTTTACTCTTTTACAGAATAAATACACTGGCAACGAAAAAAGAGTAAAACAGTAATTTAAATATTTTTCAATTTCGTAAATAAATTCAATGATTTATTTTGAAATAATCCTGGTAAAACAACAAAATAGCTTGAACTACAGTAGAAAAAGAATTTTTAGTTTAGAAAGAAGTTTTAATCAAACAATAACATAACCTTAAAATATGAACATTCATAGTAAATATCTTAATCCTTTGATATTCTTACCACACAAATTCACGAACAACAAATAATACCAATCGCACAGAATAAATTTTTATAACCAAAAGTCCTTTCCTTTAATTACTAATCTTTAAACAATTAAAAAACCAATATATCCAACTTTTTATGGAACAAATATACACAAATTAGAAATGTTTGGAAAAGCTTTAAAATTCCCGCCTATTGTGACGTCAGGCTTAGGTAGTCCATTGGACGTGTACAAAATAGACATGCGCGCGCGCTCGATGATTTATTATGTTGTTGTTGCTCATTCTTTTCTCTGGATTGATACGGATTATATGACGATCTTTTTTTTTAGAATATTCATTATGTGAATGAGCTTGGTGATGAGCTTTATCCAAAATTGTAGATATAAAATCTTATAGCAAATAATATATGCAAATTTGTTATAGTCGTATTATTGCGTCGTCTTCTTTCGAAGATTGGCTATCCAAAGCGACAGGTGTAGCTTTTAAAACTGCTACACGAAATATTTCTGCGAATGAGTGGTCAAACCATCTTCTCAGGTCTTTCAGCCATGAGTCCTGGAGTCTTAATGCTAATTTTTCCACTGTATTCCGCTGTTTCTGCTTCTGATATGATTCGGAGTAATTTTCGGTTCTGTTATATTACTAAAAATACTAAGTTATACCATGCATTTTTGATATTACCATGTTATAAAATCATAAACTAAATGTATGCAAATTTGTTACATACCATCACCACATCCAAACAGTGTTATCTAATCTTAATATATTTTCCAGTGGTAGCACAAAGCGGAAATCTCTCAGGAAGTGGTGGAGAGGACCAAGCACGCAAGCGAGAAATGCGATTATTGAAGAATCGAGAAGCGGCTCGCGAATGTCGAAGAAAAAAGAAAGAATATATAAAGTGTCTTGAAAATAGGGTAGCGGTGCTCGAAAATCAAAATAAGGCCCTAATAGACGAATTAAAATCATTAAAAGAATTATATTGTCAACAGAAAAGCGAATGAGGATCACCGACGTGTACATTACAGGTGAAGGACTGAGTTTAAATATGTTGTGTGGGAATTGAAACAAGACGGTGGCAGATTTGTGCAATGTCAACTAGAGTATTGTTTTAGGTATACAGAGGTGCATTTTATTGAATTGTTTCGAAGTTTTGAGAAAAAAATGTTGGAAATGTAATTATACTAAGCAGGATAAGCAAAACAACTATTTCTAATTGTTGAAACGTCTTCATTGTAGTTACAGTATAAGCTGGGACGATTTCTCTTCTTTGTATGATAAATTTCGGAAACTTTATATATATTAGCCACTTTTTGAAAGTAGTTTTCACACTAACATACCTTTAATAACATGTTTATAACGGTTGTTGAATGGCGAAAAATTGTATAAAATAATTTTAATAATATGTAACAATTAAACACAAGACGCGTGATACTAGTATATAGCATCTTATCTAAGACATTTTTGAATCAAACTAGTAGTTTGAACACAACAGTTGAATTTGTGGTAATGAACTTATAAGTGCAATTTCTTTTAATGTCACCTTCAGGCCTATTGCAAAACGCTTTGCATGAAAAAAATTGCATGAAGAATAACTAGTTTCACTAAAGCAAACGTTAATAAATATATTTTTAAATTTGACAAATATTTCTATTTGTATAGTTGTATATCATTTACACAGAAACTTTGTCATTTTTATAAGGTACATATTAACTTTGTTATGTATAGGACATGATATTCAGCAAAATATTTATTTTTATGACTTATATTAATGTCATTAATATTTGTTTTGTCAACTATTCTAACATAAATTATATTAGGAATGTATTTGCTTATTCTGCTTACCTTTATTTGGTTACTCAGATTATTTTACTCTTTAGGTGCCACTTGTTTAGAACCTTGCGATGGTTCAGTATTAGAAATTTTTGTTAGCAATCTTAAGCATGAATAGTCAAAACTTGCTGGACTCTGGTATTGCTTATTTCAAATAAAATAACAAATCTTAGGTCCCAACCATATATAGACGACAGCAAGAATAACAGAGCACTGAACAAAACTGAGCAATTTAGAACACACTGAACAATTTTGTTATCTTTACAGCTCTTATTTACGACAAGGTTACGTGACGAGGAGAATCGGTTGGTATCTGGTGAACGAGCTATTATGACCTGGACACGGTCCCGTTAACAAGATCCCATAGTTATCTAGAGTATTTCCAGCAAGACATAGACCTGGCTAAAATCTGAGCTTTTAGGTCTCTTATAGACGTCCAGGTTTTTGATCCGGACAAAGGACATTGTTTTTTCCGGACTTATAGTGGTCTTTGTTGTTTGTTAGTACTCTGAGGTTCTTTTCAATTCCAATTAGTTGTCTCGCATATTTTTTCCGCAAATTCCATTTTTACTGGCATGCGGTATTTGTGGGTACTCTGAGGTCATTGCGTCCTTCTATTTTTACCTTTGGTCATTTTTTTTTCAACAATGTTATTTATTACACAATTGTTCGTGATAATTTGCTTGCTACCTTTTGTCTCTTTTACATATATTTTTTCATCAGTAATTCTGTTCATTTTATGTCATAATCAACGCCAAGCTATCAACTGTATTTATCATAATTACTTTATTCCCATTGACTGCCTTACCTAAGTCTCTGAAAGATCCCTCTACATTATAAGTAGATTGTAGATAAAGGGATCCTTTGGCCTCCTAGACCTTTTTACACTCAGAACTGAAAGATCTTGTGTGAATACTTCACATCTTTGCTTGTGGCTTTAGTATACTCTTAAGCGGCTGCTGTTGAGTCTTTTTGAGTTGATACGTTGTTTTAACATGTACTCAAATCTTATGCTCTCCCGCTGGACCTTTTTCGGTACATGTTGTGCCTCATTGCGGTTTCGCTGACTACTCTTAAATAGTTCCTCTTGATCTTTGGAAGTAGAGCCTAGAAGTGATCCATTTCCATAGTTTCCAGATGATAGAGGATATTTTGTTTGTTCGTGGTCCATTTTTGTTGCTCGAAAAGGAAATCGATGGTCACTTCTGGCTGAACCCGTGAGGGGTTCTCATCAAACACGAATATGAGCCACCTTAGTCGCGCCCAACTTGCAGAATTAAAAATAATGATCGAGCATGAAGAGCTTCTCAACTACGACAAGGTTTCACGGTTCTTGAGGGTGAGACATTATAAGTAAATCTGTTTTCTGTTTAATTAGCCGATTACGTACTTGCCTTTTAATTTAAAATGAACAGCATACATAGTACACTATTTTGTTTTAAACTGTTTCCTATAAAGGTTGTTTGATCAAGTGGCATCGAAAGAACCGAAAAATAAAAATCGTACTCGAGAAAGTTCCAAGTCCAAACTTGCTCAAATATAAGAAAATATTATTTTTGGCTACTAACCAAAGATATTGGTCGTTTAAGATAGATTTATTGAATCCGCTTTTTCCAACAATCACGAACTGTCGCATTTTTGGTGATCTGATAAATATCTAAAGTATTTTTGTACAATTTAGAATATATGTAATATAAAATTATTTATATTTAAAAAAAATTTGTGGGATTCGGCATGGATTTTTTAAATTAATTTATGAAGGTCTCGAGTGAATAAAAAATCCATGCCAAGTACTTTTTATTATTATGACGAGAAATATGTAAGATTATCAAATTTTGGACTTTATATTACTAAAAAAGTAATTGTATGTTAAATTACGAACATCGATGCTATGAATAAATCTCTTTTAGGTAAAATATAACAAAAAGAAAAAACTCTTTATTGTTAATATTTCTACTTCAAATTGGGGAAGTTGTCAAATTATAATTTTAAAATAAACATCTTTTTTGTATATTTTACATGTTTTTGAAATTACATTTTGACAATAGCTAGCCTTGGTATTAGAAACATTAATTATAAAGGATTTATATCATATGACTTTGTTTAGTAGTACTTTGTATATTTTTGTATTCGTTGTTGTTCAATTTGACATTGTTAAAGCCCAAAATTGGTTATTCTAATAAACTTACTTAAAAATTTGATACATTGAGAAATGCAAAAAATATTTTTTGTGCAACTTAATAAAAATAGCATCGAGGAGGAGGAAAGAAGGCTTGTGAAAATGAAATGTTGTAAATTTCTTTAAAGAAATCGTTGTAAATATTTTGTAAGGTGTATAAAAGAACATAACTATTTAAGATAGTCTTCGTACCTTCAAAAAAAAAACATTATTTTAATGCGTTATATAGATGTCAAACTGTCAATAGATATCCCTTGTAGCAATATTATTGAGACTCATAAAAATCAAAGTGAATTATTGTTTTTTAGTAGTAAATCCGTTGCAATAATGATTAATGCCATTAATATCTCTGTATTTTACTCGTATTCTTGAATATACAACAAATATTAACTAAATCATTCCTAAACGTATTAGACGGATTCATCATTCGTTTAATTTTTGAGTTTAAATTTTAATTTGAATAGGAATTTTGATTCATAGTGTTTTAGGTTTGTTTATGTCACACAGGACTTTGTGTTATTCGTAGAAATACTTATTAAAACTCTGTAGATAGTAGTATTAGTTTTTAAACTGTCATTCGCGTTAAAAAAATTAATGAAATAGGTAACTATTGAACATTATATTGAAAAGATACATGTTGAAACAATTATGAGGAGATAATATATATTAAAAAATTGTCTTCTTTAAGTGCCGTCTCCCAATCGGAGGTTGGATATCATCATCACTATCTTTACTTTATCTACTGCTGCTCTGAAGAGTTCTATAGAACTGCATTTAAAACCAGTCCCTTAAATTCTTCAACCATGACATTCTCCTTCTTCCTATACTTCTTTCTCTTCTTATCTTTTCCTGTATTATCAGCCTTAGCAGTTCATATCACTGTCCCCTCATTACGTGTCCCAGATATTGTAACTTTCTTATTTGTATTGTGTTTATTATTTCGCATTCTTTGCCCATTTCTCGCAATACTTCCGTGTTAGTTTTCTTCTGTATCCATGCTATTCTAAGCATCCTCCTGTAACACCACATTTCAAAGGACTGTAACTTATTTATATGTTCTTGCGTTAATGTCCAACTTTCAAGTCCATATTGCAGTATCGAAAACACGTAACATCTCAGTGCTCTTACTCTCAGTTCTAATCTAAGATCTTTGTTACAGAGAATTGTTTTCATTTTTACAAACTCATTTCTTGCTATTTCTATCCTATCTCTTATTTCGGTTGTTTGATCATTATTGTCTGAAATCCAGGTTCTTAGGTATTTGTATTTATCAACCCATTCTATCGGTACATTTCCAAATGTATGTTTGTTGGTATATTTGTTTTCTTTATTATTATCATGTATTTGATCTTTTTTATATTCATTTTTGGTCCACATTTTTCACAGAAACTGTTTGTTTTTTTTTAGCAGTAATTGGAGTTATTCAGCAGAGCTTGCCATAATCACGCTGTCATCTGCAAGTCTTATGTTGTTAATAGATCTTCCGTTAATTATTATTCCTTCACTTTGAGATAGTAATGCTTCTTCAACAATGGCTTCACTATATACATTAAATAGTAATGGGGACATAATACATCTCTGCCTAACTCCTCTTCTGATTTCAATTTCTGTACTGGATTCGTTATCTGGTCCCATATGGTAAAAAGAGAGTAGTAATCAAGGATGAAACGTGTAGTTAATAATAAATTAGAGGAATGACAAAGATCGGTCGTTTACGCAGTGTTGCCAAATTAATTAGGATTTTGGAGTTTTTCTCTCTTGAAATGTTAACATAAAAATTATAGTAAAAGTTATATACAATGATTAATATAACGATCTACAATATATTTATTATGAGTATTCATGTTACCGAAGTTGAAATGTTGGATGTAACAAATAAAATATGTATTTAGGGTTTTACATGTGAACTCGGCAACTATTTCATGACGTACGAGATCATCTGGCAATATCTCAAAACTACAGATTTCTTATCCAATGATTTTTAGCTGTGAAAAATACATCTGAGATTTCTCAGAAGAGTGAAAGGTATTGCAAGACTTGGTAGACAAGAAATAAAGATGTACAACATGAACTAAACATATACTCGATCATGAAGAAATTAAAGAATACAAAGCAAAATGGAAACAGCGTATAAATATGAACATAATTGATGATAATTGACTAATTAAACACATACTACATTACAAATCGAAAGAACGAAGAACTTTAGGACGTCCTTTGAAAATACGGAGCGAAAATTGATGTCA